TCGTCTTTCCAAGTGCCTACACGCTCGAACTCTAGCCCCGCGCCCTCCGCCCCCTGGCTTTTGCCCCCCTCCCTCCCGCTCTTAAAGGGCTGCGCTCGCAAGCTCGCCCAGCCTCGCAGCGCCTCTTCGTTGGAGGGAAGAGGGGGGGGGGGGGCGGCTCGAGGTCTTCACCATCGACAGCCGCTCAGCCCCCCCGCCCCGCTCCACGTCTGCTTGCGCGCCCCGAGCCCTTGTCCCACCCTTACTTCTTGCCGCACACAGACTCGCATACCCCCCTCCCCCTCCAACCCTGGTGTCACGATGCTCCACGCTTCTCTCATCACGCCTTGGCCCCCTCATGTCTTTGACCTTCTGGCTGTTGAGCTCACGTCACCCTTACGTCACGCTTTGCTGTCATGTGCCATTGCTTCTAGTCGGAGTATTCCATCTGCTCGCATCTCCATCCTTCGCGCTCTCTGCACCCACGTCGAACCCCCTCCCACCCCCACCCCCCATCGTGTGTGTGTTTACTCGGCTCCTTCTTGTCTCCTCCTCTGCTCGCTCAACCTGCGTCTCCTCTCTCTCGGCGTCTCTTCCTCTCTCTCCTCCTCTTGCTCCTCCTCTGCCCTTGCGCCTCTGCCCCAGCGGCCCGCCTTGGGCCCCCACTCGGCCATGCCCCACGCGTGCACGGCCGAGAGCACCGGCGCGCCATCCTGGCTGGCCCTGCGCTTTGCCGGCGAGTTTGGCGGCTCGGGCTCAAAGACTGTGGCGCCGAGGGGCGTCGTTGGGCCCTGTGTTTCATGCGCCGCAAGTGCACGCGTCAGCGAATGTCCTGCAGCCTCTGCAGCACAGGAGAGGGGGGGAGGGGGAGGGGATGTCAAGCTAAGGCTACGCACGGCGAAACTGGCCTCATCGCCGAACTCGGCCATGCCAAACTGGTTCGCCTCGCGGTGCGCGTGCGGCGTCGGCGGCAGCGGCACTTTCGAGAGGGGCATGCGCAGCGCCGCGTCGGCGCCCGAGCCCCACTGCGACATTTCCACATCGAGAAAGGGCCGCCAGGGGCGCGTGCGCCACGTTGGCCGCGACATCTGCGCCCCGAGAGGGGAGGTGAGCGAAGGAAGATGGGGGGGGGGGGGACACGCACCTCGTGAAGACGCGAAACGGCACGCTGGAAGGAAAAGCGTTCATCTTCGCCTGGTGGGTGATGCGCGGCGCGGAGGTGAGAAGTGAGCAAGGTGGGAGGGGTGGGGAGAAAGAGGGGTGGGGGGGGCGGGGGCTGGAAACCCCCCCCCCCCCCTTGCCATGCTGCTCACCGCTGAAGATAGCCAGACTCATGAAGCCCTCATTCCTGCCCTCCTTTCGCCGTCGCTCGCTCTTCTCGCTCTCCTCGCCCGGCATTCTGCGCCTCTGCGGCTTGGCCTGCTCTTCTCCCTGCGCTGCTGCTGTTGCGCTGGCGGTTGCGGCGGCGGCGGCGGCGGCAGCGTCGGACTGCGCCTGCGTCTCCTGCTCCTCTCTGTAGCGTCCGACGTTTGGGCGGAAGCCTTCCTCGGTGTCTTGCAGTGCCTCGCTCATCGTTTCGCTCTGCATCATGCTCTGCGAGTCGAGGAGTTCCAGCGCGCCTTCTCCCGCCTCGCGGCGTTCGTTTGGAAAGAAGAGGCCGTCGGGCGGCGCGGCGGCGCGCACGAGGAGCGCACAGCCGGCCTCGTAGAGCGCATCGAGGAGCGTGATGAGGCGCCGCGCCTGGTTCTTGTGCGAGAGCGGCAGCTGCGGCACGTCGTCGAGGATGAAGGTGCGGTAGGAAGACGCCAGCGTCAGGTAGTCGGCTGGCCCCAGAGGCACGTCGCACAGCTGCGCAAAGGTGAAGCGACACACGGGCGCCGCGGAGCCGCGAGCGGCGTAGGACAGCGGAATCAAGACGCGCCGACCGTACACCGTCACTGAGGCTGCCTTGCCTGGGCCGCACAACGCAAGAAAGCATCAGTTCGGCGAAAGTCAGCCGCCCCCCCCGCCCCCCCGGCCAGCCGGCACTCACCCTCTCTGCCAGCGACCAACTTCTCGCACGCCTCTTCAAAGCCTTTCTCCCCTTGTACGAAGTACATCTCGCCCTTCTCCTCCTCCTCCTCCTCCTCCTCCTCTCCTTTTCGTCTCCAGTCCCTCTGGCCGCCCATCTCGACGACTTCGCAGCGCTCTCGCAGCGCCATGAGAAACTCGGTGAGCGCGCGGCGCTGCACGTGGTTGGCAAAGAGATCCTCGGGCAGGCGGTTCGAGGAGCCGACGAGGACGCCGCCGAGGAACCAGTAGGCCGTGAGAATCTGGCGCAGCAGCGAGGCCGACGTGACGTCGACGAGCTGCAGCTCGTCGAAGAGAAGCACGTGGCCGTGCTGCAGAAAGAGAGTGGCGGCGGCTAGAAGTTCCGCAGAAGAGGGCAAACGGCATCAGCCTCACCACCCTCCGCCCGCTTTCGCAGCTGCCGACTTGGGGAAGAAGGCAAACGCACCATGCAGCGCCAAGCTCCTCTCCGTGCCCTGTCCGTCCTGCAGCGGAGCGCCCGGCGGCAGTGGCTCGTCCAGATCACTCCCCGCATTGCCGCCTTTGCCACTCATGGCGTCTGGCCTGTAGAACGGCATGCCCTTCAGTGCGCGCTTCCACAGCTGACCTGTGCCGGAGCGCAACGTGTCGTCTGCCTCGCTCGTCGTGGCCGCCGAGGCGCGCTGCCAGACGGTCCCCGTGCCGCGCTGAGGCGAGCGAGGCCCCGAGGACGTCGAGTCGCCGCTGCTCGCCGAGGAAGACAGGAAGGGAACGGCAGTGTTGCGCAGCTGTCGTCTGCGTTCGGCTTCGGCCCAGATGAGGCGATAGATGGTGAGGAGCAAGTGATGATAATGTCTCCTGTTGCGGCACCGGGCGTGTGTGTGTCAGCGCCCAGCATTGGCACGAGACTCGAGGGAGGCGCCGCGCCTCCCTTGCTCGCCAGCGCCAACTCGCCTGAACTTGCCGCGCACCGGCAGCGCCTCGTACCACGCGTCGAGGCACATTGTCTTGCCGCGCCCCGGCGGCCCGGTGAGGAGGATGCCGCGCGGCGTGTCGAGCGAGGCGAGCGTCTGTGCCTCGGAGAGATAGGCGACGAGCTCGCGCACCTGCGACGCATCCACTGCGCCGCCGCGTGCCGCTGCAGAGGGTGTGCTGGAGGCAGGAGAAGCGGCGCGCCGCGAGAGATGGGAGAGCAGATGGGCGGGCGGCGTATAGTCGCTCAGCCGACGCGTCAGGTCTCGCAGCTGCCCAGCGCCGAGAGAGAGAGGCCAGCACGGAACGATGAGCTGCCGGCCTTGCGCTCTCTCTCTCCTCTCTTCGCGCGACGCACCTTTGCCATGACGCGAATCTGCTCCTCGTCTCTGCGCACCTCGCCCCGCGCCACGGCGGCGAGATAGTGCTCGAGCGGATCGGTGGTGGTGAGGTCGGCCGTGGGCGCGGGCGCCTCGTCGTCAGCGGGTGCCTCGGCGTGGCGGCGCGTGCCGGTGTAGGCACTGGGCGTCAGGCGCGACGCCAGGCGGTGCGGGGCGGCGGGGGCATGTGGAGGCGGAGCGAGCGAGGCGCGAGAGAGCGGCCGCAGCGGCGCGGGCAGCGCCGTGCGCAGCAGGGGCGACGAGACTCGCATGGCAGGCCCGTGGCAACGAGGAGACTAAGGAGGCACGGCGACGAGGCGGCGTGGACGGAGATGGGGCAGGGGAGACAAGGCAAGCCAGGCAGAGCTCGGCATGTGTCAGCACCCCGCACGAGCCGCGCCGCCTGAGCCCGACTTCCGAGCCGCCGCCTGAGCTTCTGGCGCGCACATCTAGATTGACGTCTCTTCCCGCCGGCTGGCCGCTGCGCCCTGCTTCTCCACCTCCAAGCGCCGCCTTCGCAAGTCTCAAGCAGGCCAGCAGCAACGTCGCCCACCCAGCGTCACGTCTCTCCAGCAGCGCCTGCACTCGCTGCCGCCGCCTCGCCTTTGCACGCAGCCAGACTTGGCATCACGGCGCCCGCCTTGGCTATGGCGTCCGCCGCGGCGCCTCCGCCGGCGCCCGCTGTGCTTGCGGCATTGCAGCGTGCGGGAGTCGCCTGCAGCACATGGTGTGTCGTCTCCTCGTCTTTTCCCTTTGTACCTGCACTCATCATCCTCTGGCAGCTCCGACGCTCCCTCATTCTCCTCCGACGCGCCCCACATCGACCATCCTGCCGCGCTGCTGCGCGCATGGGCACGGCAAGACGTCGACATGCAGAGCACCATGCTCGGCTCGACGACGCCCTTTGGCACACACATCCTCGTCGCCAGCGGCCAGCGCGACTGGGCGCACGACGCCGCCGGCGAGGCGACGGAGGCGGGCGCCGTGCTGCGCGCGCTGCAGGCGCTGCCCACGGCTGCTGCCACGCCTGCCTCGGCGCCGCAGCAGCAGCAGGAGCAGCAGCAGGCGTGCATCGAGGGAGTATGGCGCGCCGCGCACCACACACGCAGAGTCTTGACGGCCTCGAGTGCGCTGGCGCTGCACGAGCAAGGCGGACAGACGAGCGTCATGCTCTTCCCGCACTGGACGGCCCTGTCGCCGCTGACGCCGCACAACGTCGCCGCGGCGGCGCCGTGGCTCGCGGGCGAGACGCAGGCGCTCAAGCCGCCGCAGCAGGCAGGCGTGGCGAGGATGGTGTTGCCTTACACGGCCGTCGTGTTGCTCTGTACGTTGCATTCTTTCCCCCCCACTCCCCCCTTGTGGCCATTCCCAACATCGACTGACCACTTTCTCGATCACTCACGCAGGCTCACACAAAAAGGTGCGTCCCAGGCGCGCGCGCGCGCGTCGTGGGTTACCTGCTTGGCGTTGCATTGCACGCCTCAGCCATGCTGCTTGGAACCTCACTCAAGTGTTTTATTTCCCACAGCGCGACGTTCGCTGTCATCTTTCCGCCTCTCTCCTCTCCGAGCATCTCCGCCACGTCGCCGAGGCCGCCGGCTGGGAGGTCGATGAGCGCGGCGACTTTGCCCTGCCCTCTTCCTCTTTCCCCTCTTCCTCTTCCTCCTCCCCCTCCGACGACGACGACGCTGCTACCTCGCAAGGCCTTGCGCGCGCAGCAGACGGAGCTTACGAAGGCCGAGGCTGGGGCTACATCCACGAGGCCGCGCCCGCCGCGCCGCAGCTGCGCGCGTGGCGACGCCGAGCGGCGGCCGCAAGAGGCGAGAGGGGCGAGCAGGAGCCAAAGAAGCTCGGCATGTTCTACTGCTCTCACATCGGTGCGTGTGTTGCCCTCTCTCGCTCTGCGTTCTCTCTCTCTCTGCGTGCCTCTCTCTCTCTCTCTGCCGCTTGTGGTGGTCCAGGCAGACCCCCCCAATGCATATTAACTCGCGCTGCCCCTTGCCCCCCCATGCCCCTTTCAAACAGGAGGCCATCGTTACGCTGCAAACATGATCTGCTACTTTCCAAACGGCGCGGGCGTGTGGTATGGGCGTCTCGATCCCGTCAAGGATGCAGCTCGCGTGGTGCGTCTCTCTCTTCTCGCCCCCCC